AGTGCGAGTGCGTGCGCGTGCGAGCGCGTGCGTGTGCGAGCGCGTGCGTGTGCGAGCGCGAGCGCGTGCGTGCGCATGCGTGTGATGTGTCATATGCAGATGATAAGTGTTGATTGATCTGTGTGTGTTCAATAATGTGGCGTGTTGCCTTCTCCCCCTGAAAAAGATCCCGGCTGCTGCTTTTAAGTACAACACCCTGCCCCCCATGGCTGTTCCAACAGCTGGGGTCTCCCTGGCAGGCATGTTTGCACAAGGCTCTGCTCACAAGTGCTCGTGCGAGCCCAATGCACGGCCCTGGTGCCGTGCCCCCACAGGTCAGGGCCCAGCAGCACGTCCCCACCTGGCTGGTCCCATTGGAGTCCAGTGCCCCTCGCTGGCTCAGGATGTCATGGGCTGCGCTCAGCATGACCACGTAGGCAAAGTTATTGCAGAGCCCCAGCAGCCTGCGGGGAGGGGAAGCGCAGGTTAGAGCCAGATGGCCATGGGGAGCAGGGGAGGGGCTGCAGGGACACCGCGGTGGGGCGGGGCGGAAGGAGAAGCGCGCGGGGAGCGGGGTACAAGGGCGGCCATGGAGACAGGACTTGGCATCGTGCCTCTCCGGAGAGCCCTGGCACTTTGCATTAGAGCCCTGTGGAGGAACCCGAGGACCTAGTTGAAGTGGTAAAAGTGTCTTTTGCTAGGAGGAGGAGATCTGCCCCCCACTCTGGAGTCGGTCGCCCTGGGGACTGACGAGGTGGGAATGAGTAAGGCTTGGGACCAGGCCCCTGCAGACAGCTACCCCAGTGGAAGGGGGAGGAAGCCAGAGCCAAGGTGTCAAGTGGGCTCAGGAAAGAGGAGCAGACGTACTGAGGGCCTTGGGGATTAGAGGCAAGCACCCTCTCTGAACAGCACTGGGAGAAGCAGCACAGAGGGGCCAGAGTTTGAATCTGGGAGAGATTTGCATAAGAGGGAAGCTGCTATACAAGTGAGGTGTCTTGCAGGGGACCCCGGGTTTCGTCTGGTCACCATCGGAGCCCGGATCCGGATCCGGAGCCCAGCTCCACCCCTCCCCCATCTAACTCGCTTGGTAACAGCAGCAAGACGGAGGGTGCTTGCGTGTGTGTGACAAACACATCTACCCTATGCAGATGATAAGTGCTGATTGATCTGTGTGTGTTCAATAATGTGGCGTGTTGCCTTCTCCCCCTGAAAAAGATCCCGGCTGCTGCTTTTAAGTACAACACCCTGCCCCCAGGGCAGGCCAAGGGACTGTATGTGCAAGGGCCCTCGTGCGAGACCGCTCACCAGAAGCCGGAAGAGTTCCGCCAGCAGGCAGCACGGCTGGGGGGCGGCGGAGGCGGCTCCTCATCTGCAAGAGGAGAGAGCGAGTCGGGGCAGGCCCTGGGCTCTGACAAAGGGGGG